GCGCCCCCGCCCCGGCCCGGCCCGGCCCGGCCTGTCCCGAGCCCCCGCCTCTGGCAGCGCCACTTACAGCCTCCCCTGACGTCACCCCGTGGGCAGCGCCCCCGCCCCCGCCCCCTGGCGGGCCGCCCGCACGTGGCACCCGCCAACCGGGGCTTGCCCGCCTCAGCCCGGGGCGAGAGCTGCCTCGGCTGCCGGGCAACTTCCGACGGGCTGGGGGAGACATGCCCGGCTGGCTTGCTCTGAGCCCTTCTCCTGCCCCTTCGCCTCCCCTCCCGGCTTCAAGCCGAAGAGAATCGCAGCATGACAGAAAATGAGGGACGGCCCCTCAGCTAGATCATCCCAGCCAGAGCGCTGTCTGACGGGGGCTTCAAAACCTCCCAGGGTGGAGATCGCACCAAAAGGAGGCCGCCGACACTGCTGGTGGCACTTGCAGGTGGCCGCCACTCGTCCCTCCCCCCACTGCCACCACCACCGGTGGCATCTGCAGGCAGTCCCCAATGGCCGGTGGTCGCCACGGTTGACAGCACCGTGGCCGCCTGCGAGAGCTCCCCGCTTGCCACCGCCACGCTCCTGTCACCGCCACCGCCTGCGGGAGCTCCCCGCTTGCTGCTGCCATGCTCCCGCCACCAACAGTGCTGTGGCCACCTGCGGGAGCTTGCCGTGCCCCGCCAGCCTTTAGGGGCACGCGGCGTTCATGCCACCACCTCTTACTACCCTCCTAGTGAGAAAGTTTCTCCTAGTATCTAACCCAGCGGTTCCCAAACTCTGAGAGATGGCGCACCACCAGTTGAAAGCTATACAACCTTAAGTACCACCAGCAAGTTTTTGTCATATAAAGTAATTATAATAAATCTGTTAAGCTTACCACTGACAGGTGTTTGGTGGTAGGCATACCACCGACTGGGAACCACCGGTCTAACCTAAATGTCCCTTGCTGCAAAGTGAGACCATTGCTCCTTCTTCTGTCACCACTGAGAACAGTCTGGATCCATCCTCTCTGACCTCCCCTTGGGGTAGTTAAAGGCTGCTGTTAAATCCCCCCTCAGTCGTCTCTTCTCCAGACTAAATAAGCCCAGTTCCCTCCACCTTTCCTCATCAGTCATGTCCCCCAGCCCCCAAACCATTTTTGTTGACCTCCACTGGACTCTCCCCAGCTTGTCCACATCTTTTCTGTAGTGAGGGACCCAAAACTGAACACAGTGCTCCAGATGCGATGTCACCAGTGCTGAATCGAGGGGAATAATCACTTCCCTTGACTTGCTAGCAATGCTCCTGCCAATGCAGCCCAATATGCCATTAGCCTTCTTGGCAACAAGGGCACACTGCTGGCTCATATTCAGCTTACTGTCCAATGAAACCCTCAGGGCCTTTTCTGAAGAGCTGCTGCTTAGTCAGTCAGTCCCCGGCCTGTATCGGTGCATGGGGTTGTTCCGTCCTAAGTGCAGGATTTTGCACTGGTCTTTATTGACGTCATGAGATTTCTTTTGGTCCAATCCTCCAATTTGTCGAGGTCTCTCTGAATCCTAGCCCTACCCTTCAGCATATCTACTACTCCCCCTCTCCCCATCTCCTAAGTTTGGTGTCATCTGCAAACTTACTGAGGGTGCACTCCATCTCATTTTCCAGGTCGCTGATGAAGATACTGAAAAAAAACAATGCTAGGACCACTTGATACTGGCTGTCAATTAGACATTGAGTCTTCGATTACTACCCTTGGGGCCCAGTGATCCAGCCAGTTTTTTACCCACCTTACAGTCCATTCATCCAACTTGGACTTCCTCATTTTGCTTGCAAGAATGTTGTGGGAGACGGTATCAAAAGCCTTGCTAAAGTCAAGGTATGTCTTGTCCGCTGCTCTCCCCACATCCACACAGCCAGTCATCTCATCATAGAAGGCAATCAGGTTGGTCAGGCATGACTTGCCCTGGTGAATCCATGCTGACTTTTCCTAATCACCTTCTCCTCCAAGTGCTTAGAAATGAATTCCTTGAAGATCTGCTCCATGATTTTTCGAGGGATGGAGGTGAGGCTGACTGGTCTGTAGTTCTCCAGATCCTCCTCCTTCCCTTTCTCAGGGAGACCCAGCTTCTTTAAGGTGTCCTCATGTGGAAGCCCCTCCATACTGCTAATCATCCTTGTTGCCCTTCTCTGGACCTCTTCTAGTTCTTCTATATCTTTTTTGAGGTGTGGAGATCAGAACTGAGCACAGTGTTTGAGGTATGGACCTACCACAGACGTATAAAGGGGTATAATGATACTCTCCTTTTTGTTTGAATAATCCCTAATGTTTTGTTTGCCCTTTGGTGGCTTCTGAGCACTGAAGTAATGTTTTTAAAAAACTGTCCACAGTGACTCCCATATCTTTTCCCTTGTGCCTTACAGACCAGTGATTTTTCAGCCAAGTGATTGTGCCAGGACACCCAGGGTACTGCCACATCCTTTGAAAGGTGTCAAGAGATGTGTGTAGATAAGTGGGGTGTTAGGAGATAAGCAGATAAGCCAAGTAGATAAAGGTAACTCAGGCTGTCCCTGTCCAGACAATTCCCTGCTCCTACTGTCCTTTGTAAGGAAGTAAGTGCTGTAACATAGAAATAGGTTTTGCAACCGGGGGCCACTCAATTCACAAAAAGTTATAGAGGGGTGCCTCTTGTCCAGAAAGGTTGAGAACCACTGCTACAGGCTCACCAGATTAGACAGATACAGCACAAGCTTTTCTGGGCTGAAGCTCGGTGTCATCAGAGGCTGGAGAAGCAGGCTAGTCTGAGCGCCACTGAAGAGGATACAGCAGACTAATTTTGTCTGTTCTAAGCTAGCATGACAGATAAAGAGCATACTGCAGGACATGATTCAAGTTATACTGTAGTCTAATATGTACAGGTTCCCCAGCAATTCCAAAAAGTGGGAGTGAAATACCTGTAATAAGCTTCATAGGACTATGCAGATGATTTTTCGCCCCTCTAATCCTTTCCAGTCACCTGAATTCTAGCCTCACTTCCAATCGTGGCATACTTTGGAAGGCTATGTCGAATTAGAAGTGATCTGCATAAGGTCACCACATAAGTCTTTCAGGAAATGAGTCTTTTAATGACCAAATCAGTATTTTTACTATTCTTTTCTCACTGACTCTCGTACCACTAATTGGTCCATTTCGTTGTCACATCTGCATGGAATCCCACTCATGCTGCTCAAACTCTTATATTTCTTTGTGATCATTATGCACAGCAGGGGCTGGGAGCTCCCTGCTCCTAGGGCAAGGGGACATTGTCCCTGCCCAGGCTCCCATGGTGGAGCCTACCCTGGCAGCAGGCACCTCCTGGGGGCAGGGAACAATCTCCTGCTCCCTGCTTCCCAGGCTGACATTTGCTCCCAATCGGCCGTTTACATGTGCCATACTGTGCAGTAATTACTCCTGAGTAAATTTGTATTTACAGGTAGCTAATTTACTCACAAGTAGAACAAGTTACTGTGCAGTAAGCATCTGCACATGTAGACTGTGACGCTTACTGCCCAGTCATTTGCTCTGATCCTGAGTAAAGTGTCTTGTGTAAATGCTCCCACTGAATCCAAAGGATCAGGTCCCAGTAGAAGAGACTTAAGTTGTGACATTACTGAAAAGTTTATTTTTCTGACTGAATTGCATGCTTTAGCTGTTTGTTTTTATAAAGTTAGGTAACCAGGATGTGCCACGTTCTGACTTGAGAAAGCTTTAAAAATGATGCAGATTTCTCTGCAAATGTTGTTGAGGAAAACCTGTTAGTCTGTACCTTTTGCCAATGCCTCTGGATCAGAGACTTATTAGCAAAACAGTTTTACACTCTGGCAAATGACTGTTCCATCATACAATTTGCTTAGGGATGTAACACAGGAGAGAAAAATGGGTAGACAATAACAGGCTCTCTAGCTTTTGTTGAAACCAGTGAAAAGACTTTCTATTAGGCCTTGTTTGCTGTACTAAAATTTTCATAAAATATGCTATTTACTGTGCATTCATAGTTTCTTCTAAAAATAATAATGCCAAATTTGTTGAATAGAACATCCATTATTTATTTCTG